TATGTTAAATAATGTTACCACCTGTTTTGGAAAATATCATTTGACATGATACCTACACTCGTCAACATTTGACAGATCATGAAACCCAACACATATAACCATTTTTTTAAAACATACAAATAACACAATGTAGATTTATAATCCATGTAGTACACTTAAATTTTATAGACCTACCAATTTTAATTTTTAATTGTTTTTTCACTCGCACTTTGTGTGTTTCGACAGCCATATTAACTCCATCACTGTTGCTAAGTCGATAATGCACTCTGCTTTACCGACTTCCGAGCCTCTCGAGTCATTGAGGTAAACGAGTGTGGAGATAATGTATGGTTTTGAGAGCATTTGTATTCGATGGGAAAGGAAAATTTAAGCGTTTTAAAATAATTATTCTATTCTATCATAACATTTTAATAAAACGAATTTTCTAGCGTGAGATTTATAAATATTTCTCATATAAAATATACCGCTTCGAATTTTGTTACAAGATCATAATTTCATAAATTGAAAAAAAAATTTTTATTATTTTTTTTTATTTTATTTATTTATTTATTTATTTGATATAATTCATACATACTGTATCTCAGTCAGACAATTGTTCTGGTATGAGAGATCACAGCAATCATAACAAAAATAAAATCTAAATTTTATATAACAGACTTACATTAAGACATCTATATAAAAATTAGAAGAAAAATTCTTTTGTTGTACCTTTTCACTAAAAATTTGATTTTATACTTTTCTTTCAATTCTATTATAGTTTACTAAGTAGTTTATTAAGTTTATTAATTACATTTTCATTAAAAATACGATTTTTACACTTTTCTTTCAGTTCCAATATAATAAAGTTTATTAAAAATTGTTTGAATTCTTTGTTTATTGACAAATATTTTTGACGTGTGTGTTAAAAAGATAAATACGATACTGTATAAAATACTTTAATTATTATTTATATAATAAATTATTTAAATAATAAATAATTTAAAAACTGCTAAGTTTGAGTAGAATGCCATTGTTTGTATGCCAATCATGTAAATGCTATATATGTTTCTAAATCCCTCAATACTGGCATAAATTTTATTACATTTAATACAATCTTAATTTATTTTTCTAAATGAGTTAAAACCAAATGTAATTGGCAGCATTTGCAAAGTATAACTTTTCAATAAAATATAGCGGCTTTTCACCAGTCACGAAAAAATAATAACCAGATCATATTACTCTGAAATTGTTTTTAGTCAAATTTTTATTTCCTAAACTATAAAAGACTCGAACGTTTGAAGGATTGCATGTTTCATAATAATAATCTTTATCAACTCATCTTGAAAGGTCTTCATTTTACATTTATTGAATACATTTTAACAAAGTTTGGTATCATATCTATCGATCTGATTCTAGTAAAAAGAAGTCATTTCACTCTTATTTTGAATTGAAAAACGTATCCAATAGTATCGAAATTGTTATCTGATTTCTAATAGAGATTTTCAACTTAAAGGAGCATTAGTATGGATTTTTAACCTGTTATTTTTATATAATTGTACTACTTGAAAAATTTGTACACAACCATCAAATTGAAATAATAAACCCAAACAAAATGATTTTTTTTTATTTATTTGATATAATTCGTAGATACTGTATCTCAGTCAGACAATTGTTCTGGTATGAGAGATCACAGCAATTATAACAAAAATAAATCTAAATAATATGATGTTCATGAAAATATGTTTTCAATCGAAATAGCCATTCCCGGAATCAAATTAGAACATCACCGGTATTAGTGAGTTTAAATCATCAGTAATTCAGATCAATCAGAGAAATTCTAATAATAATATATCAAATAGAGATAGGTCGGCCGTTGGGCTGCATTCTCAAAAGTGACATAGTTCAGAAACAGCTCAAAGGCCTTTCATGCACTTATTGCTGGTCAAATATATAAAATAGAATCTATCAAATGAAAGATTCAATCAATACTCTTCTTTTATCTATGAGTTCAATTCTTAATTATGGAAATGTGATCTTATTTGAAGGGTTGTTTTTCATTTTTATCACTATAAATTTGTAACTTTGCATATCTCAATTACTTTATGTCATTGTTATTAATATCAGATATGTAGAATACAATACCTACAGAATAAAAGTGTTAATGAAAATTTGACTTGTTATGTATATATGCATAAAGGAAAACATAAAGTAATGAGATTAATTAAGTTTACATAAACTTAAACTACTGATGAGTAAAACAACAAGTTTTCCACAAAGTTATTTACAATTTTCCTTTACCATCGCACGTCTCCATAACCTTCATGGTCCCGTCACTTCCGGCCGTGTATCCCCGCCCCGGGTACTCTACACACCCACTCTAGCACAATAGAGAACGCTGGGCTACAAAATCCAGTCAAATACATATAGCTCTATATACATACATATATGAAACAGTTCATATGTTTCCTTATACATTTGTGTGCATTCACTTTACGCCAAACCGAAACGTTAAAATCGTAGCCAGCGGTAGGCATAGATTGTAATGAATGAAATGAAAGACAGAGAAAAAAATATTTATTCATTCGTAGTCGTAGCCAAGGTGTTATCGTCGTTATCGCACTACTTGTCGATGCTTGCATCAAATACAACGATTCGGCATTAATACGAAATAGATACAACGGCGTAATCAAAACAAATATATGATAATTTTATTCGTGATTTATTCACGTAGTATTCAACAAATTGCGGAGATAATGATTACGATTGATATATGCAGGCGCAGGTGTACTAATTACAATAAGTATGGTATACAGTAATAGGAATTTATTCTATTCCATGCAATTTTTTTTTGTTCTTTAAAACTGATTTCTCTATACTTCCTTTCTTCTAAATCCGATATTCTCCAGTTTTAATCTTGATTTACCTTCTTACTTTTAATTTTATTCAAATTCGACTAAACAATTCAAAGTCTACCGACTATTTAACTCAATATTTCAAATTTTCTATCTCATTGTCAAGGATCGATCCGAGGAACGCTGGCGTTTGAGTTGGGCCCTTACTGAGTGAGCTATTCCTGTTACATATCCTGGACCGGTTGGATAGGTCCCGGATTCCCATCTTTCATATCGCGGATTGTTCTAAAAGCAATAAATATGGTATACAGTTACTTTTAGTAAACGAAAATGATTCTATTCCATCTAATTTTTTTTGTTTTTGAAAACTGATTTCTCTATTCTTCCTTTCTTCTATATCCGTTCTCCAATTTTAATCTTGATATACCTTCTTACTTCTAATTTTATTCAAATTCTACTGACTATTTAACTCAATATTTCAAATTTTCTATCTCATTGTCAAGGATCGATCCGAGGAACGCTGGAGTTTGAGTTAGGCCCTTACTGAATGAGCTATTCCTGTTACATATCCTGGATTGTTCTAAAAGCAATATTTCGGATATTGGCGCCATTCAGGTTTTTGTCCCAGTTTTTTAAAAAGTACTGGTTGAAATTGATTCTTTCCTATTGCTTGTTAATAAATTCTTAACAACCCACCAAATATCATAGGAAATAAATATATATGAAGAGTATGTTTTTAGGAAACCAAACGCTGGGAAAGAGTAAATCTAGATGTGGATTAAAATATACACTCACGTTTATATATTTCGTTTATATACTTCGAAGTTTCATTTTCAAATTTGCATAGCAAAAATATAACGGAGCCGATCTTCCTCATCGCCTGGTGCAAGTACTTTAGACAATTGACAAAACTCGACCAGAAATAGGCTCCCTAAAAGCGATATTTTTACTATAATCATGAAGAGAACTGTACAGAATTGTATGCAACTATGCAAGGTTTAAAATCGAGAAAAAAAAGTATAAGAAGTTATACTTATTGTCAGTACTTCTAATTTTTTTTTCAATTAATTTATATAAATATAATATAAAATAAAAATATTTGGCATAAAACAAGTGGTAACTTTAACCCGGTTTTAAGATAAAAAAATATGGTTACCTTATAAAAATCAAATATTACAGCTCAAATTTTTAAACTATCTAAAATTATTAGATAAAGACCCAAAATTACAAGTAGTGATTATATTAATCTTGTACTTTCTCCTCCTTAGAATTGCCAAGTCAACACACTACATCATCTTAGCCATCTTAGCATTCAATTACGACGCTTACATTTCATTTTTCTGCCGTATTTATGAAACAAATAAAACATAATTACCATACACATGTTTCATTATATTTTTCAGAATTGTGCGTCATCAAATGGAATAAAGTAACGTATAAAGTAACCTTTTACATCCGGCGTTTGTTTTAGAGTATTCCGTGTGAATAGTGAATTATATTATATTTCGCTCATATTTTGTATGGCGACTGGTCGTGTGAATTTATACGCACTTTATTACTGTATTACTAATAATAAATCATTGTACAACAATGGAAAACAGATTTACATTTAACACCGTTACGAATTTCTTTTAAATCGTTTCAAAAGATTTGTTGAGACATATTTAAGACGTTAACATAATATATTCTTTATCTATGTTAAAAAATGATTTGCATGTAGAACTTTGCTTGCATTTTATACTTATCCATAACTAAGAAAAAAATGTCTTTAAAATGCAGCAATATATTGTATTTTTTTACTCCAAATTTAAATGCCATAATGAAATTTAATTGCAATAATGAAAATCTAAATATAAATACGAGATAATGGAGGGACAGAAAATATAGAACTTTGCAAGATCATTTCTCATTGATCAACAATTACTCATAGCTCAAGTATTTCAACTATTTTCAAAGAATTTAATATATCTGAAGTACAATCTGTATATCTGTTTATATTCGAGTAAATTGAAACGAAATTGCCATAATGTATACATGTGTTTTAATTCAAAGCAATATACAAAATTTATATTAAAAAAATATCAACAATCAATGTTATATAAAAATATAAAACTTATTATAAAGAAATAAATTAAATAATACTGATATTCCGCATTAATGTAACTTTTATCATAAACCATATATTGGTATTAATTTTTTATCTAACTTAACTTCAAACTTTAAAAGTTTTGCATACTTTTGTAACAGTTTCTCCCAGTAACAATGAATATCTTCCATCCTCAAATGTTTATTCACAAAATCAAAACCCTTCTGAGCAATATTTTTTGCTAAAGTATCATTTTCCATAAAAAATTTCAAAAGCTTCTCAATTTCATCTCTATTTGCATTTTCTGAAACAGGAACGTAATGAACCCATGGTTTCATGTTTGGATAAAAAAATTCTATCCAGCTAGAACCCACATGAAACACTAAAGAATTGCAGAGAAATAAATGTTTAAATCTAAAACTAGCAGCAACGCCTCTAAAATTGAACAAGTACTTATATTTGCAATGATCTTCTAATGATACTTCTTTAGCTGGATCTGCATTTAATGTATCCTGTGAATTTTATATTTTCAAATAGTTTCATATGACAAATATTAATAAATTTATAGGTCTTACTGCTGCTGATTTCCACGCTTGATTTTTTGTATATTGTGCATCAACAAGTGTTGGATTTTGTCTAGATAATAATACCAGCTCATCTCGATCACTGCTTGTTCTTGATCCGCGGAAGAAACCTTTTGATTTCTTTTTTGACCATGGGTATCTATAATAAAAAAGTGCCATTAGTATTTAAAATCTATCGATACACACAAAAGATTACAAATATGAAAAGTAAACTTATAAAAACAAACTAACTTGTCTGATGCTGCCATAATACTGCTTCTATGTTTATCCCAACGTCCCAATCCTGTAGGATACAACGAAATAGCAGGTCCCCCATCCCAAAAACTCCAAGCGGGATATAGGATATCAAGACTTTCGTTAGTCTACAAATAACATATAAATATTGTTTAAAATAAATGTTATGTGCTTACGTGACCGCTTAAAGTAAATAAACTTGCCTTACTAAAACTGAATATAGGTCCTTGAATGCCCCAATCTTTATTAACTTGCGGCCAATCTCTTACATTGATTATCATTTCTATATCAGGTAGCTTTGTAACAGCTTTTAATAGAAAATATTCTACGCCTTTGCAACGCGATGGAAACATACAATCTTCTTGGCGATATAATTTGTTATTGACTATTTGGTACTTAGTACCTCTGTGAATGTACATTATAAATATAGTAACAACATTTATTAATTTGTAGCTTGTACTGCTTGTTAATTCTATTAATACATTTATTGGAAAAATAATAATGTGAATTACCTATCTTTAATTTTATTTATCATATTTTGTGTTATACCACTTTTAAATGGCAAAAGATTTTCATTTATAACTCTGTTATAACAACTGCAATTTGAGTGTTTGCAGTCAACATGATTTCTAGAAGCATCTTCAATTAATTTCATATAATGATTATACTCTGCAAAAGAATAAACTGAGTATATATATATTTTTTAAATAATATTTTAAATCAAACCTTTATCATATTTGCTAGGTGAAGAAATATCCTCACATTCGTCATTGTCACTAGAACACGTATTACGACAACTATGAGATTTACCAAAAAAAAGAAAAAACGTCAATAATAATAGTAAAAATTCTTTCCTATCCATAATTGTAATTGTTAATTTTTATTTGTGTTTATTAAATTTGTTTCATTTGCAAAAAGGCGATAAGTTTAGCTGAAACATTGAGGTTAACCGACACATTTGACAGTTGGATTTGTAATAACAAGAATTCTTGTTAAAGCAAAATATTCGAAAGTCAAACAAAAATTATTAGTAAAAAGGTTTAGTTGTATTATTATCGTTATAAATATGGTAGCTCACATATAGTATTTTTCTAAATAATATTACGTGATTTAATTCAGCAAATAAACAACAAATTTAAAAAATTGTCATATGTCAACATGTCTAACTTTAAGAATAATTTATTTAGGAAAACTTAAAATCAATGTATAGTGTTTGAAATAAATATGAATTTATTTTCTTTATTGAAATAATAAGCTAACTCGTTTGTTTCTATTATCAATAAAATGCTTTTTTTTCTTCATATGTGAATAAAGATAAATCTATATTTATACCATTGTGTGTACACAAGCAATAAGAATTAAACTGTTTGTGTATTTCTATATATAATTCTTCAAGGTTATCAATTTTGTGTATGATTTTAAACTATTTTATTAAAATACTTTAATTTTACATAACTTCTAAAAGTAAGTAAAGTAAAAAATGGCAACAAAATCATTCATAATCCGACCATTAGAGAAGAAGGATATCAATGAGCTTTGGAGTATGATAAAAGTAAATATTTACTATAAGTTTTAGTTCCAAATGAATGAAAAGTTTATTTCAGGAGCTGGGTGACTACGAGAAAATGCCTGGAGCATCAATGAATAGTCCAGCAGGTTGGTTGAATTGAATTTATTATTAAAAATCAAATGATATTTATTTAATTTGTTAACCACTTTAAAAATACCATATATTAAAATTGATTGCTTTATATTTCATCATAATTATAGTTTAGACTTTCAATTTCCTCGTTATATGCTTTCTACACCATTTATTAAAATTTTGTTGTCCATCTGAATTTAAAGATACATCAATAAAATCCAATTTCCAGTCGTAATCTAGCAATACAATAGTATGAGTCCTAGAAATAAATATCTATTAGTACATATTTAATAAAATTATATTGTGAAACTAATAAATCACCTGGTGCCATATTTTCTCTCGTGATTTGCTATAAATATTGAACTCAATTCTTCTCCCCAAGTTGGATTACGTTCATACAATACTTCATCTGGCCAATGTCTATAAAAGTAATGAACTATTCATAGATATATATATAATAATTATTATATTTTATATATTGTTAATATTTTAACTTCAAGTTATTAATTGATTTACTCTATATAGCCATTTTCACATACTTCTCGCTACATTGCATCATACTTAATAACTTTTCCACAAGAATATCTTTATTTGCCGTTGATTCGACCAGCTTGGAAAATGTTTCTGATCCACTTTGAACCTTCTTGAATGGTTTATCCACTTCACTATTGCTGACACCAATTTTAATTACTTCTTGTTTTCCATCTATACCCATAATTATGCAATAATAATTACTAAGGTTTTGTTAAGTATTTTCTTAAAAATGAATGATATTCAAAAAATATACTGGGTGGAATAATTCTTTATAATAGTTCTTGCAGCAAAATCTATTAAAATGTTTTTTATTCTATATCATTTCAAATTTGTGATTTTTACCTGCAACCCATTCCTTTGTAATTTTAGATTCAGAATTTGTACACTGCACTACACAATTCTCTTTTCTAAATGGAATTTAATTCTGTGTTAAAATATCTTATACAAAAATTATCATGAGATATTTATTACATTACGTTATTTCTGCAGTCAAAAAGTTGAATAAGTTATAGTCATGCATCTTTGACTTCAAATCCTCCGTGTAATCTTTCGTATTTGACTCTGATTTTACATAATTAGAGACTATTGACCCACGACCTAATCACAAACAGAAATGAATAATTAATCTATAATTAACCAAATTTATATAATATATATAATATATATATATATATATATATATATATATATATATATATATATATATATATAATTTAATTATTTTAGTGTTAAACTGAAAGTTATAATTATTGTTTTGATTTACTTATACAAATGTGTAGTAGGTAATAATTTGTCATTTCTTTTGCCTTAGATAAAAAATTAATAATAAAAATAATAATCTAATTGAAAAAAAGACATTATATTACATGAATAGACACTAAATCTGCAAAGTATAACAAAGTTTTATGCTATTGTACCTGGACAGTTTGGTTTCAATGTTTTTCCTGTAACATTTAACAATGATCCAATTCGTAATCCATTTTCATTTGCTCGAACTGCAAACCAAGTTCCTCCTTCTCGCCCAATTTGCATATCTCTACCTGAAATACATATAAATAACCAAGAAAATGTATTAAGCACAAGCAATTCTAATATATTACCTCCAATAATGTCTGAATTTTCCTCCCACTCATGAGACTGCTTTGTAGGTCGGTCATAGTATTCATCTCTATTTAATGCCAAAATAAGTCTGTATCCTCCTGTTGAAGGATTTGAATTGATATACATAAATAAAATACACATTTCAAATTTAGTGATTTGTAAGTTTTTCGAAATATAGGTTTTTTAATAGCTTGCGATTGAATGAGAGTTTATATTATAATTTGGAAGCTGCTGATTAAAATATAATCAAAGAATTTCATAATAATCAAATTAATGAATAATGGCAAGGTCTGATTAAATTATTTTCTTACCAAATGTCAAACGACTAGCACGTGATACATAATACACTCATAGATAAGAATCATTTTTTTATGTTAAAGATGAGAAAATAATCTGAACGAATCTTAAAGGTCTAGAAAAGGATGGATTTGGGGAAAACCCTTTATTTCAATGTGCTGTTGCTGAAGATGAGCATCAACACCTTGTGGGCTATGTGATTTATTTTCCCATTTATATACCACGCTTAGGCAAATCTATGTATTTACAAGACCTTTATGTAAGAGAACAATTCAGAAAATTAGGCATTGGAAAAAGGCTTTTCACCAAAGTGGCTCAAGTATGCATACAGATTTTCATATTTGAAATGTGCCATTTCATATGGTCCTCTTTTACATTTAATTCTAGAGTGCTCTTGATTCAGAATGCCTAAGAATTGATTGGAGAGTTCTTAATTGGAATGATGCAAAAATTATGTATGAAAAGCTTGGCGGCATTAATATTACAGAAAAATATGGCTGGCAGTCATTTGAATTAAGCAAAGAAGGAATGGAAATGCTTGTTAATAAAAAATAAAGAAAAATGAGAGTGAATACGATTCAAGTTTCAGCAAAATATATAATATAACACTATTGACTTGTATGTAAAGATAATTTATTTTAATTATAATTAAAAAAGCTCTTGGAGGCAAATCGACTTTTGAACAAGTCACATTTGAATCTCGTGCTAAGTAATCAGTGACACCAACATTAGAAAAAAACACAAACTGTCATGTTCATGTTGCATTTGAGAGTTAAATAATTATTACCATTACTATCCTTGATAGATTAAAATAATAAAAATGTCATTATCATTCAATATTACTAAAGTAATAGGATCTCTACCTGTTCTTCCAGGATTTGGGGTACAACATAAAACTGAAATTATTTATTTGACTGCAACTAACCTCAAATGTTTCTTAGATTCAGCAAGTACGTACAAAATATGCAGATTGGCGAATGATTAAAGATGTTAGGAAACGTAATACTTTAAAACAATTTGCCGCAGAACGTTTACGTGTAAACAGCTTACGAAAAAATGATATTTTGCCTGTTGAATTACGAGAAATAGCTGACTCTGAAATTGCAGCTTTACCCAGAGATTCTAGTATAGTAGCACTGAAAAAACGTTGTGCTATAACATCAAGGTAATAAATCTTTACTGTAGCATAACTGCAATACTGTTTCATTCATAAAATAACTATTATAGGCCAAGAGGTTGTGTTACACGTTGGCGTCTAAGTAGAATTATGTGGAGACATTTGGCTGATTACAATAAATTATCAGGTGTTCAAAGAGCTATGTGGTAGATAATGTAAATATAGAATGTAATGAACTGAAGAGAACAGTGTACTTTGTGATAGGCCAATAAAACATACTAGATTGCTTTAACTATGGTACTTTTTGTCCTGTTTAAAGTATTACAGATAAATTATTAAGAGTAAAAACCAGCTTTGTTTAAGTAATTCACTGTATGTGAGAGCTGTTTTATTTTCAGCAACATTCTGGGAGAATGAATATAATTCTAACGATTCTGAACATGATCATCTGGAAGTTTATATTAAACCAGAAGCAGATCTTATTGGTGTTTACACATAAAGTAAACTTAACAACAAGATCAGATAATAAATTCATAGACAGCTTTCATAAATTTTAATAAATTCAAAAGCAAAGTTTTAATTTTAGCAATATTTTGGTACCATGCTGGTAAAAAAACCTTCGCATATGCCAGAAAGGACTGCACATGATTTTTAAATCATGCTAGTACTGTAGGATACCTGAAATTGTGGAATAAGAACTATTTATTAAAAACAAAGCCTTTTTACTTTATATTTTTATTTGAACAGTACAAATACATTTCATCACTTGCACACATCCTTAAATTATGAAGAACTTAGTTGAACAAACCTGAAACAAGAAAACATGAATTAAAAAATGATTCAGATGCACAAAAATTTAAATTATGTAAATTTTTAATATCAGAAATTATTTTGTCATCAGTATCAGCAGCTAATACATGCTAAAACATCATATTGCCGATTTAAATGGCACAATAAGGATGGATATACATTTATTTTTTGTCATAAAGATTAAAATGTATCTAATATCATTTGAAATTATAAACTTACATGAACCGTAAGTAACTACTTAAGACGATGTCAACAAGTTGAATGAATTCGCTTAATGCAAATTTAACCCACATAAGAAATGAGCAACATGTATATCCATAACTCTCAAAGGCCTTAAGAATGTCAATTTGATAATTACCGAAGCCCATATCATCATCGGACTCCTCTGGTTCAGATTCCTTCTTCTTTTCCTCCTTAGCAGCAGCAGCTGGTGCGGCAGCTCCACCGGCAGCAGCAGGGGCAGCGGCTGCTGGTCCGGATCCAACTCCTGAACCGATGTTGGTGATCAGGTCTTTTACGTTTACTCCTTCCAAAGCCTTGGCAAACAATCCTGGCCAGTATGGCTCAACATCGACAGCTGCTGCTTTCAAGATGGTAGAGATCTTCTCACCCTAAAAAATAATGAAGCCATAAAGTAAAATGCGTATGACATATATATATGTTCCGTAAACATACAATACATAAAAACCATGTTTGAAAATAATGGATTCGAACAAAAATCTACGGCAATAACAGCAAATAACTAAATATAATAAGAATAGAAATGGTATAAGAAAATACGCACATGTGAAATTTAAGAGTATATAAGTAAACAAAAATATATATCTGAATAACATCTAAAAGTACATTATTCTAATATTACGATGAGAAATAATAATATTACATATTTATACATTCGATTACAAAAGATTTCAAACAAATTAGAGGTTAGGAATGTTGTAATAAATGAAATACATACTGTTACAGCAACATCATCGTCAACCAAGATCAGAGCGGAGTAAACGCAAGCGAGTTCAGCTTTTGTGGCCATTTTTATATATATTTGAAATAACTTTTGGTGCAAGTCGCCGAAATTTGGCCTTAGCTCAATTTGAGAACAAGCACACGTATGTGATAAAGGCGGAAAAGAAATGAACGACACAAACTTTCGATTCTTAAAGGTTGGCTGTCTAAGTGTCTACAGGACACCAACATAACGAACTTGCAACTAACTTTAGTGTTTATCTCCAATTACGCTAGAGAGTAAGAGATGGCGCAGCGTAGCCTGTTAAAGTGTCAAATTTTGCAAACTGTCAAAAAGTAGTGTAATTAAATAATTATTAGATTTAATTAAACTAATATTTTATGTGTGATTTTAATACTTGAGGTAAGTTATTACTCATCTTAGAATATATTTTTATTATTGCACAATTTAATTTAATTTCTTAAATAGTGTGGAAAATTTAAAAAATTAAATTTAACGACTTTATATAAAGATCATTTATTAATATACAATACATTAATACAATTTTGTCATCATTTTCTTAATTAAAATTTAATAATAAAATTCTATATAAACAAAATATTTTTGGATATTTCTCAGTGAAAATAACATCATTTATATATCACATTATCCTACTACATACATATCAGAATCTATATAAATGCGAATATCTTCAAAAATTATATCTAATTTATAATTTTAATTACACAATGACATATTCATATAATCATTAAACATAATTTTGTATACATATTAAATTAATACTTTTCAACTTCTTACATTCGTTTTACATTATGTATATAACTATACCTTAAGATTGTCAAACTTTATCGCATCAGTTTCCAAATTAAATTATAAAAATCCTGCTCAATTTGTTTTAAATGAACTGGTCTTTAATGAATTCTAATTATTCAGACTATTTTAATAACCTTTTTAACATTTAACATACGTGTTATCAAGTATCAAGTCTTAATTGTTATCAAAATTGCAATATTTTGACTGATGCTAAAAGAAGCGTAATACACCCCCAATACATTTTATGCAAATGTAAATGTCTATCTACATATATACACGTAAATTAATTTTTACACTCTCATTTTTACATTTTATAAGATCAAAGTTACATAAAAAACATTAATACCTTCCCATATTTACATCATATGTAACAACAAATTTTCAATTTTATTCCATTTCAAAATTCTAATTAATCTAAGGTAAAAATGAATTCTTCCAATATAAAGTAAAAGAAGCTTCTGTCTTGACCAACAAATATATATATTTTTCAAATAAAATCGGAAAAGCTTTTCTGTCCAGAAAACTGAGATTGATAAATATAAAAAGTAAGTGAAGAATCCTGAAAATTATAGTACCTTTAATTAACCATTAATCATTTAGTTAAATTTAAACAAAGCTATATTTTGAAATTCCAGTAATACAATGGAGTTTATAAGTATTTGTCATCAATAGGAGCATTTCTTTGAGTTAATTTTATATACACCAATGCCTTTAATAGTACATTTAAACACCAGTAAAAATTTTGAATTTTATACAAATGTAAATATAACTTACGTATAAAAACTATAATTAAAATTTAGGTGAAAAAAGACATTAAAACTCTAGTCATGCTTTGAAAAATTATTTAATTACATTGAATGCATAGACCTTATAAGACATATACCTTATAATATGTGTTATAAGGTCTATCATTGAATGTCGTTTTATATGTGTAGTATGTAGAATAGTAATTTCTTATATTGAAACATTAAAAAAAATGTTTTCAGTATTAATTCATATACATGCATTAGCTAGACAAGTTAATAGTCTTATGTATATATCCACATATCTATACAAACATACATAATTATACATACTAAATAAATAAGCAAATTTATATATATATATATATATATGTATATATATATATATATATATATATATATGTACGTATATATTTTTGCATATTTATATATAATATCCAATATTACAATATAATGATTCACTTACTTATTCGAACAATATCACAATTATTTGTGGAGCCCTTTTCTGGCACACATATACCTAGTATAAGGCAAATAAGTAGTACCTCTAAAATTATTTAATCCTAAAAAATATTTATTGAATTTAATCCTCTAAAATTATTGAAACAACTGATGTTATATTGCAACAATTGTTAACACTCATTTGGATAATAGTAAAACAAATTTAATAAGTACCAATATGCATTTTTTTAATGGTTTCACGTATAATTTAAATAGACAATACTCGATTGGGTATGAATTTTAATATCATTTAAAGTATAAATAATATTATGTTTGGGGTATTATATTCTTATAGTACATCCAGTGGCGTCGGAACCAAATTTTTGATGGGTGGGCTCGTTTTTTTTTTTTTTTTTTGATAGACAACTAGTGGGCTCTTTTTTTTAGAGATATTAGCCCATATAATTTTTTGAAATTGATGGGTGGGCTGAGCCCCCCCATCAAAATTCATGGGTGGGCTCAAGCCCACACAGCCCACACGGTTCCGACGCCACTGAGTACATCTTATGAGTATATTGGTAATTCACAGTATATATAGTATAATATTAGGATCAGTTTTCTTGAAATTCTAACAGTAACAATTTTACAAGGGGTTGATTTAGATAGGAACAAAAATCATTTTTGAAAAGGTAAAAACAGAGAAACTTAATCCGACGTAAGAAGCAAAAAGATGTTTGTAAATCGAAAAAAGAAGAGTAAGAAAAATAAAAGGATTCGTTATCGTACCTGTAGAGCTGCTTTGTGGATGATAGCTTATATATACATGTAAATATTTATTTGTACGCATATGAATGCAATATACAAGAACTTATAAGCATCAAAAACTATTTACATAAAAAAAATGTATAATTGTATTACAATAGCTGATAAAATATTGAGACATATATAATGAATTCGGATCATCATATATAAGTTGCTTTATTTGTAATACTTAAAACGTATTTTATATCCTGTAATTACCTTATAAAACTAATCCAAAAATCTAATTAAAGTGCAGTGAGCAACGATGGTTGAGTTGATTCTTGCGGTGGAGCACCGCGGCGCCGGACGCGCTACCTATGAGGTCTCCACTTTGAGCTCCTGTATCGGCATAATAAAACCTAAAATTTATAAAAATTATTAATAAAAAAATCAGATATTTATATATTCTTAATGTATATTATTTTTCTAATTACCTTTTTGAATGCTTGCCTAAAGACTTTATTGAAAATTGTATAGAAAATAGGGTTGACCATGGAACTGGCGTAGCCAAGCCATGTGACAAATTCGAAGACCCAACCACTAACGTCTTTTTCGCAACTCTCGCAAACTGAAGGCAGTAGATTCAATACGAAGAATGGAGCCCATAGAACCACAAATGTAAAGAAGACTACTCCCAAAACCTAAAAATAAAAATAAGAACGAATGTTATATACAAGAGTGTATACTAAGTTTTCTAGAAGGCTTCCCGAAGAGGGAGTTTGTTTTCTTAGAAAATCCAACTTTGAATTGTTTGAAATCAATATTGAAAAAATATATGTTAACAGACAAAATTTCGACTTTTTGTCGACATTCTCATGAAAACGGCACCGACTTAAAAAAGATAACTAGTGGTGTATGGCATCGTGCCTTAAGGCAAATTGCTGGAACTTCCAGTACCAGAATTATATATTCGAGGCAAACAAATTAGTAATCAAGAAAAATTGATTAATGATTTACAACAATTGTTTTATACATTATCAAATAGAAATTATAATCAGTATATATTTTATTGTTCATAAAATTTGAGGATCTTATCACTCAAAACACCTGAGAAAGTTTACATTAGCAAGAGGTGCCGAATAAATCCGCCTGAGGATATATTTCTTACGATTAGAATAACGCATTTGAAATATGTACATTTTCAAACTGAATTGTAAATTTAAACATTCATATTTGAAGTATAAAACTTTGTATATTCTTAAAAATTTTGAAATGTTTTTTTTTTTCTGAAAATTTTGAAATTTGCTGGAATTGTATAAGTAAACTTTAAAAATTAACAATCTTGGTATGGAACCCAACAAAATTAGTACTCATTTTTAAAAACTTTATCAAATATCTGATATTTCTTTTACTTTTTCCTCTGTATCTCCGAAACCGCTAGCCTGCCTCACCGAAAATTACATCAATTCTTTATTAAATACAAGTAAAATGTTTTGAATCATTCAAATCGGATACTTCGTTCTCTCAAAAACTGAATTACTGTCTCCACGAAAAACTAATCGGCACGTCTCCTTATCAATAGGAATCGAATGTTTTTTGAATTATTCAAATCTGTTGATTCGTGCGCCCGAAATCGTGAACGAAAAATTGTGTCCAAACATACACACACACACTTACATCCATTTTTTCTAAGATATGCCAAAATGTTCAGAAACCTTCAAAATGTAAAGATAAGCAAAAATTTTCGATTTTTTGCGATTACTATTACTTACCCTACGGGAAGATAAAAGTTCGACCTTTTGTCGACGTTTTCATAAAAAGTGCTGCACCGATTTAAAAAAGATAAAAATCATTTTATACAACTCGATCGATATCAAATAACTGGATGACTGGTTGTTCCACAATTTTTATAGTAAAATTGAAACTCAATAAAATACGTCAGTTTTATTAATTATTAACTGACCTTTGTAGCCTTCTGTTCGAGCCTAATTATCCGCCCATGCCTCGAAGAATCCCTAGACCTGTTCTGCTGCGTCCTGATACGCTGATTTGCCCTGTCATTTTGAGAATGCGATCTTTCCAAAGTCACATTCAAAAGTGCGGTCCTAGGCCTTGAATTTATATTATTTAACGTTGAATTATCATCAACGCATATCACAGTGCTGGCCATGGATTTGGAACCATCCCACGTGACAGCGCAAGGAAGTGATTCCGAATTCTTGAGCGATTTTTTCTTATTATTGATACTTCGTCTTTGGCCATTATTGGAGTCTGTGGAACACGTACATGGATTTTGACTATCGTTGGACAAGGAAGGTTCCTTTGTCAGAACGGGTGTTTTCTTGGTGTCCTTTCGGAAAATCTGGCACGATTTCAAACGGTTGTTTCCAGGAGACGATGCCATGCTTTCGGTGGCACTGTAAAAAATAGATAAACCGATTTTAGAAAATTCAGTTACAAGTTTATGATAAATATCATTAAATATAAGTGATTTTTTTACGATTACGAATTTTTTGAATTATTATTAAAATCTACCCATTAAACCCACTTGTTGTTGCAATATAACTCGGGAGTCAACAGTTTTAAGTAACGATTTAAAAATATATAACAAATGTTAACTAACTAAATTTTATAATATGCATTTATTTTTACTAAACATAATAATAATTTATATAAAAATAAATAAAAAATATTGTTATGTATAATTGATTTTTTTTAGAAGTCTTTATTATTCAGCTATGCTGAATTTAATTCCATAACTCATATAGTGCTCTCTTTTGAAAGTCTTTTGTAGTATTATTTTCTATATCCGAGCAATGAATTTGCTAGAACACATGGTACATACTGGAAAGAATGCAAAAATTAGAAAAAGAGGAAAATATCTGGAAATTGTGGGTTTTGTGAGAACAAAACCACGAATAGAAAATAAATAATGCGACGTTTATGGATAAAATATATATTCAACGAAATATGAAAGTAACGACACATTTGTATAAATTTTTACTGCTATTATGTGTGTATTTTATATCTTAAATATACACCCACTAATGTATTTATTTATTTATTTATTTATTAACTTCCCGTAGGATAAGTTATTGTAATGGGCCGAAAATCGAAATTGAAAATTTTTACATTTCTCGACGTTTTGAAGGTTTCTGAACATTTTGGCATAACTCAGAAAAAATGAATGTGTGTGTATGTGTGCGTATGTATGTATGGATACAAATTTCTAGTCACGTTTTTGGCCGCACGGATCAACCGATTTGAATGGTTCAAAAAACATTCGATTCCTATTGATAGGGAGATGAGCTGATTAGTTTTTGGCAAAGGCAGGTCTGGCAGTTACGGAGATAAAGAGCAAAGAGTGCAGAAAATAGAAATCGAGTTTTTGAAAGAACGAAGCATCCGATTTGAATGATCTAAAAAACATTCAATTAGTAATGATGAGAAAAGTGTTTATTAGTTTTTGGCAAAAGCAGGCCAAGATACGGAGCTAAATGTGTAAAAATGGCAGTTTTTGAGAGAACTAAGCGTCCGATTTAAATGATTCAAAGAACTTTCTGCTTGTCTTAACAAAATAATTGATTTTGGAAAAAATAATTTGTTTTAACTTTTTTTTTTCAAAAAAAATTATTTTGTATATCAAAAATAATTCAGATTTTATTTTCAATTCTGACTATAGTTCTAATATACTTTAATCAAATAATTTTAACTTTGCAATTCAGTTTATATAATTTTTATAAATATTAGCAATGTTACAATATTTATTTATAATAATCTATTTGAAAACATTCAAAATTCCTCGAACATTTCGTTACGATACGGGAAGATCCAGCAATTTGCTTTAAGGTACGATGCCATACAAGTTTATTCTTTATTTGTAAGTGATATTAAAAACTAAATCAATGAATTCTGAAAATGATTGCTCACACCTCCAATTCAATTCAAGAAAATTTAATATCAGAAATTTCCCAGTACGATTTTACACCGCACTATACTATTTGCGGACTATTTTTAATTGGAAACATATTCTCCATTTATTTTTTGAAGCAAAAATAGATATCATTAGTGTATGATATCACGTTGTCCGCGGTCGGATGAGAATACTCTACGGACTACCTGTTCGGGTGAATATAGTAACTATATAACGGGTATAATGATGTACCCATATCAAACACGAATGTAATTGACTTTAAATTTAAATGGATAAAAAATATCATGAGGTTAATGGTACGTGTAACACATAAACTATATTGTACAGGGAATAAGTTTAAAGAATGGTTTTGAAAATTAAAATTAAAAAAATTATCAGTCATGACAAATCATTAAGTAAGCTAAAGCTTTAATATTTTTTTTTATTTTAACTCTGTTTTATTCAGCAATCAGAAATACATAAGAATTTTTATAAGCTAAATTGACAATATTTGAGAGGGATGTCTAAGAAGAACTCCAATGAGATCTTCTTAGTTTAACAATTAAAAAGATAATGATATATTGGAGCTAATCTAAGACTAAATCTAAAGGCCATTGACGTTTTAATCTCCTTACGCCAAATGGTTGTAAAATGTCGCCTATTGATGGGGTTGAATGTGATTCCAGTTTACCTTTGTATTTTTCCTTAAATTCTTTGAACGTTAATTGCACAGTTTTCATGTTGAGATCGCTGTGAATGGTTTCATTTGTAACGTACCACGAAGAATTAAGTATTGTACGTAAAATTTTTGACTGAGTTCTCTGCATTATAGCTATATTTGATTTGTAAGCACATCTCCAGAGCTCAATTCCGTAGGTCCAGATTGGTTTAATGAACAGAGAGCTTAGACTTTTTACGCAGTAGCTAATCAAATTTTTCATTTTTATCATTACTTGCTGCTTTTTTGTTTTTATGTGGCTTTTTCAAGTAAGTCTGCTGTCTAAATGGAGACCAAGATATTTCATTATGTTCTGTTATATTAAACATCAATTTCATAAAATTGTCATCAACAAAATTATTGTCCATACAAGGAGCAAATGTCAAAGAAAGCAGATGTATAAAACCGATTACGGATCTCCGAAATCATGCTGTGCCGTTTATAAAATCATCCCCGAATAAAATAAAAGGGGAAAATTTTCTACCCTACTAGTAACAACTGTTTGCTTAATAAATTCAACGTGAAAAGGTTACACAAAGGTTACATCACTCATTTGAAGGTTCAAAATTTTCATGTCATATTCATAAAGTAGAATAATATATTTTGAAGCCAATGTTTAGTGAAGTTTATTACAATATAAAAAGAAATTTATGATCGCTAATTAGAAGCAATATCATTTTAGTTTATTATTCTACAGGTTTGCATGTAGGTGATCAAGATTAAATGTAGTAGATTTGAATTTGTAAATAACACTCGTATCCTTTCTATAATTATAATAGATTGTTATAACTATAATAGATTGTTATAGATTATTGTTATTCTTAAATTGAAAGATTTTTGGTTTTTGAGATTTAATAACATATTACTTCAACATTAAATATTGTTTTGTTGTCTTATAAAAGAACAATTAGAATTAGAAAAGTCTTATATCATCATCAATCTATTATTAATTTTATAAGCTGTTCTGAACGATGCTTATTTTAGTCTTTTTATTGTTTATCAAATTTGTTTTGTTCATTTTATTATTTCCAAAATCCACTGATTGTCTGTACTAATTGAGGTATATATTTATCAGATTTACATCTGAAACTCCTACAAGCCAATCCAAAAGGTCGTCCTTTCTAATTGTGATAAAACAGCTTTGCACTAAAAGGTTATTTTCATTAGAAATCATGTTTAATTCAAATCAAAAACTGATTTTGGTACTGTTTGACATCAGGTTTTACGAGTTAGGAATTGAATGTGAAACCTTGTGGTGGTAAAGCCAATATGCCTCTAATATACAATAAGAGAGTAATTATTTAAATCCCTCTTGAAATAAAGGCTTTTAGATATTCAAATAAAAAAAACGATATATACATTTTTTATTATTTTAAAGCATTCAGGAGTATTACAATTTCTATAAGCTGTATTAAGCACTGTTAAGGGGGCGTTTATTAATCACGTGAGCCAGTTTTTGAGGATTTTTGGAGCCCCCTTCCGCCTTGGTGATACATGGCGATATTCAAAATTACCTCCCCATCAAACATCACGTGCATTTTTAGTTTCGTGAAAAAACTGTAACATTTTTGATTTTTTTTTGATAATTTTAAATTTTTTTTAATAATAATTAAAAAATAAATACACGTGATATCTTACTATACTTCTCCGTCCCCACGTAGTTTTTTGTGATTTTTGGTCTAACCCCCCCACTCCCTAAAAACCTCACATGATTAATGGACGCCGCCTAATTATTAAGAACAGCGAGTATTAGTATATAATTTATTGATAATTCTTATAACTTAATATAAGATATATTTGATTTTTAATAATGATAGCTATTATGAGGCAACCCCTCGGTCGTTTTTATCAATGCCCAAAAAGGCTATTTTCGCTTGGAACTATATTGATATCTAAATCTTGGTCGAACCTAGAACTTCTGATTAGAATCCCATAGCTTCAACCCGGGTTAGAATTCTGATTAGAATCCCATGGTTTCAGCCCTGGTTAGAATTCTGATTAGAATCCCAAAGCTGATACTTTTATAGAAAATTGTACAGATTCATCAGTTTTTTTGCCTTTACTACATTTATTTCTACTAAAAATGTCACATTTATTCAAATTGGAATAACAAACAAGGGATCAATTTAATGCAAATGACAAAATAAATACTAATGTTTACCCAGCCATTCCCGATTTGGTTGCACGGCCAATTACAATTGGCTCTAAAGTAATCAGGGTATAAACTATTTTCCAGTTAGCAATCAGGCAATTGTGCTCTGTGCAAATAATGCAAATTAAAATAACATTTTTCCGCAAAGAGAATCACATCCGAGCCAGGGACATCTACAATGGCAATTATATTAATGGAGCTCCGGGTGAATTCCGCATTATTTGCGAAAAGTAACAAAGACACAATCAAAAGCGAACAGATTTTAATGCATTTTGTATGTCAAATCGCAAACACTCGATTCACTGATTCGCAGACACAAAAGGATTTTTTTTCATAAATGCCTGTAGATATTCGAAAATATGCAAACAAAGCGATACTATATTAACAATAATTGAATATTTTGATATGCATGAAATGAATTCAATTGTGATTATTGATTCGATTATGACAACAGAACTGCTTTTGATTAATTTATGTCATTTGCGAATACGCGCCATAGAAATAAAATAAAATACAATCTGTTCCGAACTTCGAGCTAGTTGAGTATGAGGTTTAAAAATATTTGCTAAGGCTATATTTTTAAAAATAGATATAATTCTGAAGATATGCCGATTGTACTAA